GATCTAACATATGGTTGATTCTGGAGAATGATCTGTGTGCTGGAAAAGAATGGACTGTGCTGTTATTGGGCAGAGTGTTCTGTATATGTCTACAAAACCAAGCTGGTTGATTTTGTTGTTTAGAGTTTCTGTATCTTTGTTGAATTTCTTTCTAGTTGTTCTTTCATTGAAAGTGATATGTTAAAGTCTCATACTATTCTTATGGAGTTTTCTATTTATCTTTTCAATTCTGTTAATGTATTCTGAAGCTCTTTCAATGGGTGCATAGATAATATGATTAGGTCTTCTTGTTGGATCAACCCTTTAATCATTATATAGTGATTGAATAGTATATAGGAGGTCTGGTGGCATAGTGCCTGCGATAGTTGGAGCTGTGTATCAACTTGGCTGGACCACAATTCTGTGTGGTTTAAGCAGTTGTGATGTGGTTATTCCCATGATGGGATCAGATGAATATGTTTTGAGCAGCCAATCTGTTGAAAGGGAGTTTCTCTAGGGGTGTGGCCTGCTTCCAGTATATTTATGGACATCCTGAGAAAAGAGACACTCTTCTGTGGATCGAGATTCTGTTGTGCTGCCTACAACTGTCCATGAGCGAACAATCCACCGTTCAGCCTGATCTTGGATTTGTTTTTTGTTGGAATCAACAGCCAGTATACTGTCTGCTAACCTTGAGCTCCTCAGCCCCTGCAGCTGCGTGAGTTGGGAAAAGCCTCCAGCTTGATGTTTGATCCAAGAACTTTGAACTTGCCAGCTTCTATAAGTGTGTGAGCCATTTTCCTAAGATAAATTTCTTTCTCTATATATAAGCTTTACTGGTTTTGTTTCTCTAGAGAACCCAGTCTAACACAGTGCCTAAGGCATTTGACTGATAACCAGAAGGCTGACGGTTCAAACCCATCAGCCACTCCTCGGAAGCAAGACTGGGCAATCTACTTTCATAGAGATACTGCCTTGGAAACCCAAGGAGGGGTCACTATGAGTTGGATCTGACTTGACGACAATGAGTTTGATTTTTTACATATATGTATACAATAGTATATAAAATATAAAGGTATTTTATAATTTTTTTCCATATTTTGATAAAAAAGAATTCACTGCCATCAAGTCGATTCCAACTCGGTGACCCCCATTGGGTTTCGAGGCAGTAAATCTTTATGGAAGTAGATTGCTCAGTCTTCCTTCCACAGAGTGGCTGGTGGGTTTGAGCCGCCAACCTTCTGATTAGCAGTCTAATGCTTTAGGCACTATGCCACCAGATATTTAGCTTATTTTTATCTTGTGTCTAAGGTGTGTCTCTTGTAGGCATATTTTCTTATTCATTCCGCCGTTCAGTCTTGACTGGTGCACTTAATCCATTTGTTGTTGTTGTTATGTGCCGTCGAGTCGGACCCAACTCATAGCAACCCCTCCTTGGGTTTCCGAGGCAGTATCACTGCAGAAGTAAACTACCCCATCTTCCTTCCGAGGAGTGGCTGGTGGGTTTGAACCACCAGCCTTCTGGTTAGCAGTCAAGTGGCTTAGGCACTACACTGCTAGAGCTCCTTTTTAATCCATTTACATTGTGTAATTATTGATATGAATTTACTGCTGTCATTTTGTTGGTCTTTTTCTTTTTCAATTTGTTGTCTGGCACTGCTGGTTCTCTATCCAAAGAATTTCCTTTAGTATTTCTTGTAAGATTGATCTGGTTTCTACAAATTCCTTTAATTTCTCTTTATCTGAAAATGTCCTAACTTTGCCCTGGTACATCAGTGACAGTTTTGCTAGATACATAATTCTTGTTGGCTTTTTTTTTATTTTTTTGTCTTTCAGGGTTTTATATATGTCATCCCACTGCTTTCTTGCCTGCAAGGCTTCTGCAAAGAAAACAATAAAAACATCAGAGCTTAGTCTTATTGCTTCCTGTTTATAGGGTAGCATTTTGTTTTTCCCTGAGTTGCTCTCGGGAGCTCTGGTGGCATAGTGTGTAAGGCATCTGACTACTAACCAGAAGGCTGGTGGGTGAACCACCAGCCACACCCTGGAAGGAAAGTTGGGCAATCTACTTCTGTAGTGATATCGCCTTGGAAAGCCAAGGAGTCAAATCAGACCTGACTTGACGGCAGCGGGTTGAGTTGCTCTCAGGATTCTTTGTCTTTGGGAAGTTTGATTATGATGTGTCTCAGTGATTTTCTTTTGGGGTTTATCCTATTTGGGGTTCATTGAGCTTCTTAGATGAAAATCTTCTCATCTTTCATCATATTAGGAAAGTTTTCTGCCAGACAATTTTCAAAAAATTTTCTGTGCTTATTTTTTTTGTCTCTTCCTGTTCTGGAATTCTGATCACATATAAATCACTCTTCTTGATAGTGTCTCACATACTCTTAAGTCTTCGTTTTCTTCTTTTAAATTTTTCTTCTAACAGATTGTTATCAAGGGTTTTGTCCTGTATTCAACTGATTTCCATTGATTCCTTTGTCCTTCCAAGCCTTTATTTATTTCTGAAATTTTAGTGTCAATTGTCTGGACTTCTAGTTGCTATTTTTATATGGTTTCTAATTGTCTATTTGTCATTTTCCTCTTGTACAGTTTTTCTGAGTTCTTCTAGAATTTTGTCTGTGTTTTCCTTGATGTCTTCCGAAAACCAAAACCACTGCCACTGACATTTCCAACTCATTGCAACCCTATAGGAAAGAGTAGAACTGCCACAGAGGGTTTCCAAGGCTTAAATCTTTATGGAAGCAGACGGCCTCATCTTTTTCCTGCTGGTGGGTTTGAACTGCTGACCTTTTGGTTAGCAGCCCAATCAGTGCTTTAACCACAATGCCACCAGAGCTCTTTTATCTTCTGGAGAGCCATATATATATATGTGTGTGTATATATACGTGTGTATATATATATAAATATATATACACACACACACATATATGTGTATGTGTGTGTATATATATATATGTGTGTATATATATATATATACACGTATATATACACACACATATATATGTATACATATATATGTCTTTTGAATTCCTTATCAGGTAGTTTCATTATCATTTCCTCAGGGAGGTTTGCTAGTTCTTTATTTTGGCCATTTGGTGGAGCCTGGATAGTGTCTGTTCTTTCCAAGGCATTACAGTGTTATATTAATTATATTTTTGTTTACTGCATTCTGATTGTTGTTTTGATGTACCTGGGCAGGTGTAATGGGTATGCTACTCTAGTCACTAGTGTGGCTGCACTGGAGCATTCACTACCTGTTTCTGGGTGGGTGGGGTGGCTACTGGGTGTGAGTGTGGGTTTGTTTGCTCGTCTTGCAGGGTGGCTAAGAAAGGGTTGGCTGGCTGTCCTTGGTCCAGTGGTGCAGGCAGTGGCACTTGCCAAGTGGTTGGAGTGGTAGATGTCGTGGGTGTCACTGGCTACTGGGGGTGTGGTCACCACCTCCTGCTGAATGGGGGAGGCGAGTGGTGGGTGGTTGCATAAGTCATGCTGCCTCCAACTCTCACATGATGGGGGGATATGTATGATTACATCCTCACTGCCCCTTTCCCAGCAGCGGGGAGAGGGGCAAGCAGTGGGCAGAGGAAGGGGGAGGGAGAGGTGAGTGGGTTTTTCCTGATGCCTCTCACTGGGTGGTGGGAGGGAGCTGGGCTGGGTCAGCAGGCAGGAAGGGGGGGTGGGACTGGTGGCTGTGCTGCAGTGGCCTGCTGCTGCTTGGCATGGTTGTTGGGCAGGGAGAAAAGTGACAACGGGGGCTGGGTAGGGAGTGAGTCAGTGGGCTTATGCCTTGGTCCCTGGACGTTGGGGCTGCAGGGATGGGGCAGTACGTGTTGCTAATAAGTGAGAGGTTGTGGGGAAAGGGAGCATGCTCATTTGATCACTGGACAATCATGCCTGCCTGAACTCTTGCTATTAGCTGCAGTCAGCAATCAGGACCTTATTTCACTCTATGTCTACAGTTACTCTATGTCTTATTGGGAATTCCACAAAGTTGACTTCTGTGCTTCTCACCTGGGATTGCTGCTGTCTCAAAATGCCACACTGTGTCAGACTAGCAACCAGGGCCCCTCTCCTTTCTATCTCTTCTTGTTCACTGTTTCTTCTTTGAAGCAGTATTTGATCTACTTTATCCTTTCATTTGACGTTCAGGGTTCCATGATTGCTTTCTGTATCTGTTTCATTTAGTTTCTCAGCTTTTGCTGTAGGGTGTGTTGGACTAAGCTGCCCCTTTGGCCTGAAGCCCTGCTGACACCTTGTCTTTTAAAAGGCTTTGGTTATTTTTAAACAGTCCATAGTAAACACTAATATTTCAAAATAAGTTAAAATAAAATTTTATTTGTATTTTAGAAGATATTTATACACAATTAACAAATTCTTCATAAAACAATTGCCAATCCTTGTCCAATTTCATGATCATTTCTATACAGGCTTGGAAATTTTGCTGAGAAACAGGGTCTACAAAATATTTATTTTAGAAAGTGTCACAATTATTTTAAGCAAAATAATGTTTAAAAGTGAAGTTTTTGCATGCAAGTAATTGAGTTCACACTCTTCCTATACACAATTGAAAAAAATAATAGGAAAATAAACATTAAACTCATTTAATGAGGAAACAATGAGTACATATCGTGTAAACTTTTCCAATTTACCTAAAATTTTCTATTATTTTCAGAAGCTGTGCCATTACAGGAGATCAACCACCACATTATGTACTCAATTATAATAAACAGTAACCAAATTAATGTATTATAGCAGAGTCACCTTGCTGTAAGATAATATTAAGAAAGTCTTATTACACTGAAGGCTTATAATATGAACCATAAACCCTATAGGAAACAGTCTGTTCACACAGAAAGATGTTCTTTCACTCATTTTAGAATTGAGTAACATCCATTTAGTAGTGTTGCTGGTATTAAAAAAAATAAATAAATACAAGTTGGAAATACGAAGGCAACATGCAAAAGTGGCTGATATTTTGGTCTTTGTTGGAAATACGAAGGCAACATGCAAAAGTGGCTGATGTTTTGGTCTTTGTTTGAGAGCACACCCTGCAATTTAACAAAGACTGGTTTTGTATCTTCAGTTCAAAAGCAAACTGCTTTCCAAAAGGACCAACTGATGCCATCCCTGAGAGCAGAATCTCAACCACCAACTTGAAAGGGAGATGACTCAGTGAAGAACATGGTAACTGATTTGATTGAGATAATGAAGCAAAATCAAGGTCAAAGCATTTTCAATCAAAAAGAATTCTAAAATTCAATGTTTTGGAATTTTCCCCCTGAGCTATATGTTTTTTATAGAGAGTCTCTAGTAAAATAGTGCATTCCATCATTCTAAGTTATACTTATAAATGCTATTGTTTTTGGTGCTGAAAATAGATAAATTGTAACTAAAACAGCACAAAGTGGTAGCAATTACATGTTTCATAGAAATCTTTGGTGAGATGCAGTACTCCAGAAGCCTCTTCACTTTGTTCTAGAATCTTCAAGTTATTTTTAGAGGAGAAACCACAAGACCATAATGAAGGACAAGCAGACCATCCTGAAGAGAAAAGAGAAAGTACTTTGCACTTAGTTGAAAACCAGTTATAGAAATGATTGAAGTGAAGCTTGTTTATTTTTTCATAACCCAATCCTGAAGTGAAATTTTATTTAAGGAGAATAAAGGACCAGAGATAAATATACTTGTTTATTTGCTCACCTCATACCAAACATTTTCCTTGTCAATGTATCTTTTTAATGATTCTCAGGAGTCATTTCTGAAACTACCATAGTTAGCCAGGGTTATTTATGATGAAACAATTCTCCAACAGAACTAAAAGAGATGCAGCTTCCCTTCTCCACAGACTACTTACTAGATTACTGAGGCATTGGTAATTCTAAAGAAGACTCATTATCATAAAACATCATGGATTTGTTAAGAAATGTTCATTTCCATGTAAATACAGCTCACTACTATTATAAGTGATGAAACTCTTACCTGTTTAATACAGTCTAAAATAGACCATATACTTTCCTTTCTCCTTAAATATTATTCAGTATAATGTAGTCCTTCCTTGATGACTCAGGGTCATAATTATGAACAGCATCTGTACTGTCTATAATACAGTGATGTGCTCAGGGGTTGTGGGACAACTTAACCTTATACTAAATGACTCTCCGATAACCCCTTAATCTTAACTCTTTAATATGCTTTTTGTGGGTTTCTGTCTCCTCTCTTGATATCAGGTCTTAATTCTCTGTGTTCTTCCCAAGGCAGCATCTAACAAGCAGTCTACGTTTTTAAGTATGGTTTCTAGTCTCCGGTGGAATGGGAAACAAGGTAACACAGGGGACTCACTGGGAAAGTGCCATGAGCACTGATCTTGCTGTGGACTCACTGGGAAAGTGTGCCATGAGCATTGATCTTGTCGTGAACTCACTGGGAAAGTGCCATGAGCATTGATCTTGCCGTGGACTCACTGGGAAAGTGTGCCATGAGCAGTGATCTTGCCATGGGCAACACAGGAAGGGAGCATGGCAGTTCCAATTGGATCTGTTATTCTGTATTTTTTTTCTTCTTTATTAAGCTTTTCCATAGCTCGCTTCTTCATTTCTCATTCACTACTCAACTCACTGCAATCTGGCTTCTATTCCTTGCAACTCCAGTAAAAACTTGCCAGAATTCTAGCAAACAGTTCACAAATACAAATGCTTACAGGGGCCAAGAAAGTAACATAAATGAATACATGGGCCAGATGTGTGAAGCCAATAAGGAATGTTGGTGACTAGTGGTAAACCAAACAGCAGACACATTATCTACTCACTCACTGCCATCGAGTTGATTCTGACTCATAGAAACCCCCACTGGATTTCCCAGGCTATAAATCTTTGGGGAAGTAGATTGCCTCGTCTTCCTCTTGCAGAGTAGCTGGTAGGTTTGAACCACCGACATTCTGATTACCAGCCAAATGCCTTACCCAATACGTCACCAGAGCTCCTTAGATGTATATCTAATAGAGTTTAAATTTAAAAATATTTCAAACACAGAATAAGCCAAGTACAGCACAATCCCATACCACCTTTGGCCCATGGATCATCAGATCTGTTTTAGATTAATGGGCCTCTCAAAAAACACAATGCCACTGAGTCAGATCCAACTCATAGCAACCCCTCCATGGGTTTCCGAGGCAGTATCACTACAGAAATAGATTGCCCAATCATCCTTCTGAGAATGGCTGGTGGGTTTCAACTGCCAGCCTTCTGGTTAGCAGTCAAATGCCTTAGGTACTACGCCACCAGAGCTCCCAATGGGCCTAATCAAAGTAAATGAATTTTTATTATAATACAAATAGAAAGACTCCATTAACATTTTTACAAGCATACAAATTACACTTGACATAATGTTAATTTTGCATGTAACTATGTTTCAGAAATGAAAAACATCATTTCCAAAACAGTAAATTGATACACAGAGGTATAAAACTGGAAGTATAGCTTACAAGCTGTTTCAAGATCTCAAAACCTCAATACATATATAAAACCATATTTTAAGAAATGATATGATTATACTTATAACAAATTTATATCTAGATGCTATGATATTTCTTACAGAAATATATGTGAATATATAAATTATATGTATGTGTACATACATATATATATCCCTTCCATTCATAGTGTCAATTTTAACTATCTAACCAGAGTGAGTCAGATGATGTCATTTCAGTCCAATAATATCCCACCCCACTCAATTAAAATCCAAAATTCTTACCATCCTGGTAAATGTCTGCCCAGATCTCAGCTACTACCTACCCTTCTTTCCTTCACTAACCACATCCTAGCTTTCCCTTTGCAGTCACTTATTAATCTAGTAAGATTTTGGGAGATTCTATGAAACTTAAGGAGCTCTGATAGCATAGTGCTTAAGGTACTTGACTGCTAACCAGAAGGCTGGCGGTTCAAATCCACCAGCTGCTTCTCGGAAGGAAGGTTGGACAATCTACTTCTGTAGTGCTACTGCCTCAGAAACCCAAGGAGGGGTCACTATGAGTTGGGTCCGACTCGATGGCACATGACAACAACATGAAACTTAGGTTACCAACAAGGACTTTGCTTATATCATGGGCTATTGAGCTCCAGGATTTAATCATCTCTGAATTTGTCCAGCATAGTGCTCTGCAAATATTTCTTGAATTGAGGTCATATTTTCTACCCACTCCATTAACACTGGGATTTTAGTCCCAGTTTCTTACATTTCTAATCAAGCTTAATTTTAAAAAGACACCCAACATTTTCTAAGATATCTGAAGTTTGTGATGACAGGTCAGTTACCAGCTGACCACAGAAATGTAGGCTCTAAGACTTAATGGTGCCAAACAAAGAAGACAGAAGTCAGGATTTCTAAGCTATGGTAAAGAGTCACTATCAGACCACAAACCTGGTCCCCTTTTTTTTCCTCCTCAAATGATTTTGAGTTATGTTCCACATTGTTCTCCCACTCTATCCAGGATCTCCTACACAGATCCCCTCCGAGGGCACAGACCCATTTTTGACATAACATTCGACCTTATGTTTTCTTCATACCTAAGTATATTTTATGTGGCAAAGAAATCATCTTGCTTTTATATTTTATGAAGATTTTTTCCAATATCTGTTGTTACTAAAATGTAGACTATTGGTATGGTGCCATATTCCTGGAAACATATAACTGAATGATTAAATAATCACCTGAAAAATGTACCCAACTATCCCCCTGACAAACCGAGGCTTTAGGTTACATTTTTTCAAGAGGTGACTTCTGATTCTACCACTAATCAGTCAAATGGCTTCAGGTAAGTTACTTAATAGGTAGTTATTACCTCATCTATAAAAAAGCCAATAGTAAATCCACCAATGGATATTAAAAACTAGAAGGTAAAGTTTGAGGAGAAACACAGTCTCAGAATACCTCAAAATATTTATTCATTATAAATCGGAAAAAACAGTAGTGCTAAGATACATCAACTTTATGTATGTTCTGGTATGATGCACTAACAGCAGCATATCACTTCTGTGACATTCTTGCCAAAAAAAAAAAAAATAGGGAAAGAATGCATACTCTCAATCGAATTACAAGAAAACCCCTGACAAACCCAAATTATAGAAGATTCTATAAAATAACTTTGCAAGTGTCAAGGTCATGAAAGACAAGAAAGGGATTTGGGAACTGCTGTCACACATTAGAAGAGAATAAGGAGACATGACAACTGAACGCAATGTGGAATCCTGGATTTAGATCCTGGAACAGAAAAGAGACATTACTGGGAAAATTGATAAAATCCAAATAAAGTCTATAGTTAATAGTATTATCAAAACCAAACCAACTCACTGCCGTCGAGTCGATCCTGCCTCATAGCGACCCCTCCTTGGGTTTCTAAGGCAGTACCTCTATGGCAGTAGATTGCCCAATCTTCCTTCCGAGTAGCTGGTGGGTTTGAACTGCCAGCCTTCCGGACAGCAGTCACATGCCTTAGGCATTATGCCACCAGATCTCCTAATAGTATTATAGCAATATTAATTTCTTCGTTTTGATAATTGTACTATGGTTACACAAGATGCTAATATTAGGGCATGCTGCTGGGTGACATCTAGACAGAAACTCTATTATTTCTGTAAGTTTTCTTAAGTCTTAAATTGTTTCATAATAAAAATTTAAAAAAAGGGGGGGATAATAATTGTTCATATCTTTTCAGGTTGTAGTGAGGATTACACAAGGTAATACATGTTCTTCTGCACCTAGAATATAGAGCTCAAGAAGTATTATTTACTATTGTTTATCTCTGAGCTTCAAGCAATTTCACATTATAAATGTGTTGTTCCTATATTAACCTGGCAGGCTCATCAATGAGTTTTTGTTTATCTTCTCATTTTCCAATCTAAACAGTTTGAAGATTCTTTTCACTAAATTCTAAAACCATCTCATTGTATGGGGAGGCTGAATGTATTGTAAAAATACTTTATATTTCAATGACAAAGCCAGTTATAAAGAAACACAAAGATGACCAATTCCTTTTTAAATCACACATAAAATAATGACAGTCCTTAAAAAAAATGATGGACCTTAATTATTTTACCACCAATTACCTTTGCTACTGTGACAAACTGGTGTATTACAATAACACAAGAGTGCCTATAAGAAAAGGATAATTACAACCTGTAATCTCACATTAAGAAGAACAATTAGCCCTTGAGCAATTTATCCTTCTGATGCTCAATTAGACATGTTTTACTAGCATATGAAAACTTGTAATTTTTAAAAAACAGTTTAAGTATCATTAGGAAAATAGTTAAGAAAAACATATTTTTTACAGTGACTTATATTAACAATGGTGGTAAAATTCCTAGCCTTTCAAATTTGTTACATTGGAAACTGGGCTACTTATACAGAATAAAAATTATCAGTATGAAATTTCAGAAAACCATTTTAATCATCATATAGATGACATGTATGAATTTGTCTGCTTAACTCAAATCCCTTATTGAGACAGACGATTAACATCACCACCAGAGATTCCCTCATGGGCCTTCCCAGTCAACCCCTGTCCCCAGCAACAAAGCAACCACTGTTTTGATTTTTTTTCCATCATAGATTAGGTTTTTTTTTGGTTTTGTATTTTATGACAACTTTATTGAGATTTAATTCATATACCATAAAATTCACCCATTTGAAGTATAAAATTCAATGGCTTTAGTATATTCAGAGTTATGCCATCATCACCACCATCAATTTTAGAACATTTTCATCACCTCAAAAAGAAATCCTATACCCATTAGCAGTCACCTGCCTTTACCCCCTCAGAACTAGGTAACCAGTCCACAGAAACTACTTAAAACAGTGCCTAGCAAACAGTAAACATGCAATAAATATTAGTTATAATTATTACTTATAGTCCAAATAATTTTAAGAAGATTATAAAATACTTATTGACATTTTACTGTTAATGCAGAACTTTTTCCTTTCACACATAACTTATCTGTCAGGCAAAGGCATGAGACCTACCTGCATTGCTGCATCACCTATTGCACGTCGGATTTCTCTCAGAGTTTGATACTGCTCCAGCAGATGATCACCACAGATGATATCTACCTACAGACAAATACTGAAGTCAGATTGCTTCCCTACTTCAACAACTCATCCAACAAAAATAAAGAAATATCAACATAATTATTCCCAGATTGTTGTTGTTGTTGTTATGTGCTGTAGAGTTGTCTCCGACTCACAGCGACCCCTCATGGGGTTTCCAAGGCAGTATCACTACGGAAGTAGATTGCCCAATCTTCATTCTGAGGAGTGGCTGGTGCGTTTGAACAAACAACATTTTGGTTAGCAGTCAAGTGCCTTAGGAACTACAACCGATTAAATGCTCTCGAGAGAGGTTTTTAAAATTTATTTGAAGAGTTTTATGTAAAGGAAATAAGGTAAAGTGGAAAGTGCATCTGAGGACATAGCAGTACAATAGCACACAGTAGAACTGATGTTCAAAATGATTTCCTTGAATCTCTGAGAACAAGTTAAATCATGTTCAATATATTCAACATAAAACGGCACAAGAAGGCAAATTTTTGAAAGTTTTTCATAATGAAATGATTTTTTTTTTAAAAGGCATTCTGCTTAAAAGGCAAGCCACAGTTACCTCAAAAAATTATCTTATGGGAAATATCTCATTCTCCAATGATGTCCTGTATGTCAATTTAAGCATAACACTGCATTATAGCCCACATTGAGTTAACTGTTTTATAGATGAAACAATCTCAAGGTCTTTTCAGCCCTTTAGAAATGTCAGAGCACTAAGATACACCTATTTCTATATAAAATTCTCTAGAAAAAATGATATTGTTGTACAGGTATTTACTATATTATAATAAATTCAAGTATATTTACTTGCTAAGATAAAAATGCAAATTTCTCACTAAGTGCTTTTTACCCACTGCCTTAAAATGGGGTCAAGTCCTCAATACCTTATTAATAAATATTACTTAATTGCCACAATCACCTAATGTCCCTATTTAGTATGCCAAAACAAACCCATTACTATCTAAGGGGTCAGCAAAATTTTTCTGTCAAGAGTCAAATATTAAATATCTTAGCTTTGTGAGCCATTGATCTTTATTGCCATCTATTCAGCTCTGCCATGGTAGCATAAAGCAGCCAAAGTGTGGTTCTGTTCTAATAAAACTTTATTTATAGAAACAGGTGGTAGGCTACTTTTGACCCATAGTTTAAATGGTTATAGTTTGCTAATCCCTGTTCTATCTCATAATGAATATTTCAAATTATCATATAATCTTAGATGAGTGACAATTTTTGTGCTTTACTTTTACCATGTTTAAAATTGGCAGATTGCTATTTGTTTGCAAAATTATTCAAAAGTAATGATAGCAGATCTTGAGCACAGAATTGAGATCCATGAAAAATTAAAGAATTTAGAAACTATCATTATGTTTTTATTAAGTATTCAGCCACCCAGAGACCATCATTCTTAGTGGGCTTCACCACATAGTATATGTACATTTATGACTTGCTTACTATATATTTTTTTCAACCTTGAATTTTCATAAGCCTTATTTTTCTTAATTAAAATTCAATATAATAAATTCAAATAACATAGATGAGTATATACTCAAAAAACTCACTGTTATTGAGTCGATTCCAACTCATAGCGACCCCCATTAGGTTTCCAAGGTGGTAAATCTTTAAGGAAGTAGATTGCCCCACCTTTCTTCCACGGAGTGGCTGGTGGGTTTGAACCACCAACCTTCTGGTTAGCAGTCAAATGCCTTAGGCACTGCTCCACCAGAGCTCCTTTAGATGAGTATATAATAACAAATTAAAAAAAAAATAGAAGGGGAGAAAGTGAAAAATGATGATTCTTCCCATACTTCAATCTTAAAATCCTAATTTCAGAAGTCACTCATTTACTAAGTTTGATGTGTATGGCCCTAGATGTTACAAGTGCATGTGGTTTTGTTGTGTTATTTGTTTTTGACAAAAATGGGATCATGCCATATATATTCTATAAATTCATAAAGAGAAACAAAACTTAATGTACTATGGATATCTTTTGGAGTAGTTAGCTCTCCAGTAGCTGCAAATGGTTCCATTGTGTGCACAGATCATAAAGTATGTATCAATTCATCTGATGATAAACAGTGAAATTGCTTTCAATTTTACATGCTGATTTTTAAAAGCTACCTGGCTGTAAATATCTCCTAAGTTACTTCATTCAAACAGAAAGTTTCATTTCTATTTTGGGAGACCCCAAGATGTCCACTTACTAAAACAAAGCATATGGATCAACATGATCATGGCTAAGATTTATTACAACGACATAGTAATGAGGATATATAGGCAGAGTGTGGAGAAATCCATGCACAGGTTTACTATGCTCTCCCTTTTCAACCCAGTACTTGAGGTCATTCTTAGTCTTTTGGTTAGAAACAGATGGCTATTTAGGGACTCCTGGACAAAAACTAATAACCTCAAGTACCACTTTTTTATGCAACTAACGCATGTGTCTGTCAGTTTATTGTACTGTGATGGCTTGTGTGTTGCTGTGAGGCTGGAGGGTGTGCCACCAGTATTTCAAATACCAGCAGGGTCACCCATGGTGGACAGGTTTCAGTGGAGCTTCCAGACTAAGCCAGATTCAGAAGAAGGAAGGGGTCATTCACTTCTCAAAAGAAATGGCCAGTGAAAACCTTATTAATAGCAGTGAAACACTCTCTGATATATTACTGGAAAACTTTATGAATAACCCTGAAACACTGTCTGATATAGTGCTAGAAGATGAGCCCCCTTAGGTCATAGGGCACTCAAAATGTGACTGGGGAAGAGCTGCCTCCTCAGAGTAGAGCTGACCTTAATGATGGGGATGGAGTAAAGCTTTTGGGACCTCAATTTGCTGATGTGGCACAACTCAAAATGGGAAGAAAACAGCTGCAAACATACATTAATAATTAAAACATGTAATATACAAAGTATGAATCTAGGAAAATTGGAAGTTGTCAAAAATTAAATGGAACGCATAAAGATCAATATCCTAGGCATTAGTGAGCTGAAATGGACTGGTTTTGGCCATTTTGTATTAGACAACCATATCATCTACTATGCCAGGAATGACAAACTGAACAAGAATGGCATGGCATTCATTATCACAAAGAATATTTCAAGATTTATCCTGAAGTACAATGCTGTCAGTGATAGGACAATATCTATACACCTACAGGGAAGACTAGTTCATACCATTATTCAAATTTATACACCAACCACCAAAGCCAAAGATGAAGAAATTGGAGATTTTTACTAACTTCTGCAGTCTGAAATTGATCAAACATGCAATCAAGATGTGTTAATTATCACTGGTGACTGGAATGCGAAAGTTGCAAACAAAGAACAATCAATGGTAGTTGGAAAATATGGCCCTGGTAATA